TTACCATTTGGTGCACAAGGTTTCAACTCCAGTTAAAACACTGAAACTACTCAAAAGAGGTAGAATAGTAGAGCTAAGCTGCTCAAACAAGAGAAGCTTCTAGACTCATTTTGACCACAAAAAAATCTAAGATTCATATTGTGGTTTATTTAAGCAGTTGAAATATAAAGCTTAGAATTTCATGTGCAAGCATCAGTTTCACAGATGTTCAATGGTTTAGCTTTCTTCCCACTTTACAAGGGTGATCATGGCATAGGTCTTTGTCCCCGCTTCATTTCTTAGTCTCCAGTTGTGGAGCTGAGTTCTGATGATTACTCATTTCAAAACAAAATTAGGGTACCTCTTTTAAAGTTTTCAAAGCCTGGAATAACAAAGAAAAAGCATAGTGCTCATGGGTTGCTGCTATGCTAAAATATTACTGAGAGTGTAACATAATGCAGACAATCTCATTACCAGAACTGTTCTCAGAAGGAGCACTCCACGTGGTTGGGAGGACAATTTTGAAAGGTTTGAATTGACATTATGGTTAGAGTAACACTCCAAAATGCAGGTTTGAGTAATAACAGATGATCCATCTCTGAGCCACCATTTAAAAGACCTGGTTAAGTATAGGCTGTTCGACGATGTTTAAAAATATTTTTAATCACCTTGGGTGTTATAATGATGCGTTCACATAGGAAATTTTCCTTATTTTATGAGGATATATTAAAATATGTAGTACTGAAATGATTTATTGTCTGCAATTTAAAATACATCAGCAAGTAAAATAGATGATGAAAATATGGCAAAACATTAGCAGTTGTTAAATGCAAATAATTAATAGCTGGACATTTGATTTACCCTACTTTTCTATGACAGTAAGTAAAAGAAAAAAATGCTAAATGAGGTAAAAGTACTGGGGGACAAATGGAGTAAGTGAGAACAACAGAAGAAAGGGCAGGTTCTGCTATCATGTATGCTCTTTCTCTGTCCTTCTCTAAGGCATCATTCAGGCTGCTATCTAAATAAATATTGAACAAATGTTTAAAAAACATATTTTAAGATATGTTAAATTATGTGCCTGCCTGGGAGTTTGGTCTATACAGTAATTCTTCACATATCTGTAGGTCAGAGACTGGCAGAGGACCAAGACCTATGAAGTAAAGATATATGTGAGAAATCCACCATATGGCGAAAAAGAACCTTCCTATAGTGAGTGAAGAGAGAAACATAGTATTTCCATATATCTCAAGTATGAAAAACTCAAAATACAGCAGTTTTGAATCACTTTTATGTAGTCCCAAAGGTATTATTGCCTGACCTCATGTTCACAGTGACCACTTAACATTTTAAAAAAATAATTATTCACAGAATAATTTGTTTAAAAAATAAGAAGGTGGAGTGCTTTTCTCTGATAATTTTCATGCAAGATGATCAATTTTTTTTAAAAGTGTGGTAATCCAGGAGTATTCATCAGTTATCTGAAAAATGTTTTTTTATCCTATTACATCACAGTACAAAATACATATATAAAGTGACACTATAAACCAAGAGGATCTTGTTTTCAGGGCATTGTTGAGTTGGCCAGATGTTTTAAACTTCTATATTCCCATTCGGTGATGGGATTTCATATTTATTTTCTCCTCCTCCTCCCCCTCCTTTCCCTCCTCCCGCTGCCGCTGCCTTTTCATCATATATGCTGGGAAAAATAACAAAACTGAAAAACACATTTTCCTCTTCCTTTTTTATTGTGCAATTTGCAAGGGACTAAGTGGTCGGTGACAAGGATGATGGTAGAAAATGAGCTAATTAACTATACAACTGAGAGTCAGAAGAGAATCCAAAAAAATGTTGAGAAAGCTCAGGCCAGCTGGATAATTTGATATTGTCATTAGTGATAACAAATGTCTGCTATTTATCAAAATAATTTTAAATGGGATAAATAAGAAAATTTATAATCTCAATTATCTTAACAACCTAAAGATTCTTGTTTTTCTTCAGTTCTTATGTATATACATAACAAAAGCTACTCTGGGATTTTAAAATTATAATTAATAAACAAGTTCTATATTAAATGTGTTAAAATATCATTTATATATTTTTTTTGCCATAATATTGGTTCATACCAGTATTTCCTTGACTAGTTTCTAAGTTGATGAAACTTTAGAATTACAAGTTGAAACTAGGCATACTCCTTTAATTATAAATTATTTAAAACAAGATATTGAACTTTGCCTTGGTAAGAAAACTTTAATAAGTACTTTTTATTAATTAGTATTTTCAATAAGTATTTTTAATTAATTTTGAATCTCTTTCTCTAGTCTTCATTTCATTTGTTATTTCAAATAAAATTTAGTTTATGAACATTGGATTCTGTAATGAAAAGGTAATAATCAAAACAAATGTGTTTCTTCTAATTGATTATATAGATAGATATAGATATAGATATAGATATAGATAGATATAGATGATATAGATATTTTTTATTTTGTTGGAGGGAATAAAATATGCAAAAAATCTAGCTACCACACTCTCCTGATCCAGTATAAATTTTAATATGGAGCTGATAGCAAGTTTTGTTCTGACTTAATTTTATAATGTTTAATTGAAAGATAATCTTTCCTTAAACCATTGTAGGATTGGCTCAACACTCGACACAATTTTTGGTTGAAATACTCATAGATAAAAACATGCTAGGATTTCAGTTCTTATAAGATTAGGAGAAGAAAGAAATAAAAACAATAATACTCTTGAGCTGGTATTCTGACTTTATGGCATTGTATCAGATATAATAGTGAGATTAATTTTAAACCTTTTTATCACATATAACAAGCAAAGGAAAAAAATAAGAAAGGCAATAATGTCATCTATCTTTCTATCTACCTGTCTATCTCTTTATATCTAACTCCAGATATACATATAAACATGCATTTTTTTTGAGTCAGATGAAATTAGAAAGATGAAGGAAACTATAAGAAACAATGTACCAGATGGCAAGAGCTTTGGAGGAGACAAGTTCTCTCACCTTCAATAGTGAGATTATATGTGTCGACAAACCCCAACACGTATGCTTTTAAAAAATGTAACACTGTAAATAGACTTCAGAATTTGAGAAATAAAATTTCACTGTAATTAAGATGAGAAATAGTCATTTACCCATTTGGATTCATTCCAGTTCTCACAAGGGCAAATTTCTAAACTGTCATTTTCTTTTCCCATTATGAATTCTGGCACCAGGGTAAGATATTAGGATTTTAATGCCTTAATATATTCTATGAAATATACTAGTGTACTTTACTATTTTGACCTTTTGGCACATCATATTTTGATTCGGATGGCCATTTCACTCTTTGCTCTCAAGCTCAGGGAGGCCATAAAAGAGCAAAATGAATGGATTGACTATAGCTAGTCACAATACAGAATACTGAAAAGGTCACTGTATCTCATCGACTGTGCTATTATTCATGGAACATACAGGACCTTAAATATTTGATATCGTAGTCTTGTGACAAAGAAATCTAAGAAAAAAAATGTAACCAAAAATCACTTCTCATGGCTAAATTGCACCATAATTCAAGAATGAGAATTAGAAGTAGCTTCATACAAGGAAAAAGAATAATTTCACTTTTATTCCTCTTCTCCTATTTTTCCCTGGTAAAATATATCTATGAGCACACAGACTTAAAAAGGAAAAGGAGTTATAGAAGCAATATAAAAATGTTAAGTGAACAGTTTGAAACTAACAGAGCTCAGGAATTGAGATTTCTAGTAGCATTTTCCAAGAGTTTCTAGGTCATGTTTGCTTATTTTCTGGAGAAGACATTAGAGGGCTACACTCTAACAGAAATATAAGAAAATTCACTTAATTTAAGGTAATAAAATAGAACATCCTAAAGGATATTTTCTCTAATATAAACTTTAAATAAAACGTGTTTCTTTTTACCCATATATGGTAATGAGTAGCCAGAGGAGATCCAAGTCCCACATTCACAAGAAAGTAAACTCCTGAGAGGTCCATTAACCATCATATCTTATAGAGCTATATTTATTTCTGCCAATAATTTCTTAGTTTACTTAAATCAACCATAGAAAAATAAAGGAGACGTGTATCAAATTGAAGAGACATGAAGAAGCAATTCATAAAAGAAATACAGATCAACTCTGAAAAAGGTTGACAAGCTCAATCTCACTAGTAACTCTTTAAATGCAATTTAAACAACAATTATATCCATTTTCAACTATTAATTATTCAAGAGTAAAAGAAAGAAATTACCTTGTGCTTGTGAAAGTGAAAAAAATGGCATACTGACTTTTTAAGAAACATATATTGATAAATCGTATTCAGAATATATTTTAGGTCAAATACATTGAAAATGTGCATAGCTCTGAAATGTGCATAGCACTCCAACTTCTGGATTTCATCCTAAGGAATAAGTTATATGAGTCTGATGACTTACGTTTAAGAATGTTAATCACAGTGTTACTAAAAATAGGGAAAAACTGAAAACAACAAGAGATTAAATAAATTTCATTGTGTTTACATCATTTAACTTAATGAAACTCTTAAAGGCTTTAGAACATGTTCATGGTATGATGTGGGAAAAAGTAAGTAATAACTTAGTATCTTGAGTATGTTTCCAATTTTATAAAGTGTATATATGCATGTAGAGTTGTATTATTATATGTAAAATGCATTTATAATTTTAACAGAGGTTAAGGTGATTACGTGATAATATAATGGGTGATTTTGTGTGCATTTGTAGGAAAAAAAGTCTGGTAAAATAAACACCAAAATGCTAGCACTAGTCAATTCTGAGAGATAATTTTTAAATTATGGTTATTTTTTTTTATGTATAGATTTGAGTGCCTGCTTTTCTGAATTTTCTCAACATTTTATAATTAATATGTATCACTTCTTTGAAAACTGAAGAAAACACTACTTAAAAAAAAAAAAAAGAACAGCGACCTAGAGAAATTTATTCAAACAGTGATTAGAAATCAGAAAGAAAGATTGGACTTACAGTGATTCTTTAGAGAAACATTGGAAGATATCTTGAGTGAATGTACACTCCTTTTCTTGAATTGTCTTGTCTCCATCCTGGACTAATTTTCTGGGGCACGTGGGAGTAGGATGGAGAGATACAGATAGAAACACTTTTTTTTTTTTTTAACTTAAGAGGGAAAATTTGTAGTTGTTGTAAAACTAAAGTTAATAAAAATGTCTGTCCCTTTTAAATTTTCTAAAGAGGAGGGACCAGGAAATATAAAGCAGCTTGAATGTGAGAACTTAGTGCTTAGCAAACCCTGTGATTCACATCTAATGGCATGAATTTCCTTTTCACAAAACTCATAAACATCACACACAGCAGACACTTCTTCCAAAAACAATCCTTCTATAGCTTGCCAAGAGTTTCTTTAAGCTATCAGAAAATAAGCCTGCATCTCCAAAGTATAGCATAGGTTCTATGGGTGTCAGGAGAAAACTTAGTTAGCTCCTCATTTCCTAGGGTATTTTAGTTTGGAGTGCTTTAAAGGAGGTTTGAGTCAGGTTAGGTAAATTCAATTGTGGAGCTCTTGCCGGTGCAACATTTTCATTTAATACAAAGCCATGAACAAATAGGGGAAACTTTCTATCTCTCAGACTCCTCTTTGAATTATGAAAACTACAGTCCTTTGGGATATGTGGCCCTATCTTAGTTTTATTTTGTGGAATACAATTACACACTCCAAATATCAAAAAGAACTCAGTCTCACTGATTTTGTTTTACAAAATATGACTCCATTCATTTGTACTTCGTTTTGCTCTGTGAATTTTTCCTTCCATCTTTTTCTGAAGCTACGCATCACAGAGACTGCTCAGTTAGCCTTTCATCTGTATTTGAAATTATGTAGGGTGCTCCAGAGAGAGGCAAGTATTTTGAAAGGTGGCAAGAGAGTGAGAGGAAATACTTCTTTAGATTTTCACGAGGGAGAGGTTATCACTCCCCTAGGTCAGAAGGAACATACAACCTATTTTCTGGCAAGTCTCTGGCAGCTGCGGGAGACGGATCCTTAGGACTGCCTTTCCCAGTCCTGGCAAAGATTCTTCTGCTCTAGGGAGCATAGAAACCAGGAAGTCATCAAAGTTGAAAAAAATGACCTGGACTTTTTTTTTTTTTTTTTTTTTTTTTTAGAATACTCAGTTGGGCCCAATATATTTTATCTTTGCCCAACCTTGGATGAAGGAAACAGGTATGTAGAGGAACAAGTTTACCGAATCTTTGCCAGTCTAGCAGAATGGAAGCTTGGAGTCAAATATGACTTGCTTTAAAGGGAGAAAAATGTGATGTTTCCCATACATCTAAATTTGCAGTTGCAAATTTATAATAGTTTCAGAAGTCTGAAAAATATATACAATCCTTCTTAACAAAATTCTGAGTGGACATCGCTGTTTTTTTGTTTTACTACATACTCTTTCCACACCCCCAAACACAATGCTTTTTCATACCTAATTCCCTTCTATTTTCTGTATTCCTCAGCATTTTCTCACTGTTCAATGAACACACTCTTAAGAGCCATGTGAAGTGTACTTTCCCTTCATGACACTTTCCTAGTCTTCCTGGGCAAAGTGACTGACTTTTGCTTCTAAGAGAATTCTGCTTGGTAGATTCAATTCATACAAATGAATGATAATTATGTTGAAATATTTGCCTATTGACCAGTGAGATTTTTCAGATCAGGGCAGTGATCATCTAATACACCGTCTCATTCCATGAGCACCTACTAGTCCCAGGGGCACAGACCAATAAAGATTCTTTTTAATGTTTAATGTTACAAAATCAATATATATTAGAGTAAGATACATATAAAATGTCATCTAGATAAATTCTCTCATTTGGTAGATGAGGAAACTTAGTCACAGAAAACTCCTATTACCTAAAGCAGTGGTTCTCATACTTTAGCTTTAAGCAGAATATCTAGAGCGTAAATTGTTAAACACAAATTGGACTCCATCTTTCGAGTTGCTGCTGGCTGAGGATCACATGTTGCAAAACACCAACCTAATGTCACACAAATAGTCACTCAGTGGCACAGCAACTAGGATCCCAGTCTCCTATCACTCCGAGGATCCATCACCCCGAGGCTGCTTTCCACAGTTCATAACAGTGTTAGTTATTCATCACAATGGCATGAACATATGAAAATAATAAAAAGACCATGAACATGAAAGCTTGGTTTTCAAATTGCATTTAAGGGTTGAAAAATCCGAGACAAAAATGAGGATAAAAAATTACCTTCTCCTCTTTTAAGAATATCTTTTGGGTCAGGGAAAGCTGACCAGTTTGCTTATCTAGAGATTATAGGCAGACGTCTTCCACTTTTCTCTGGCTGTGTCCTACCAATAATTCAGCATCTTCTTTCTTAGAGTTTCCCAAAGCCTTTGCGAAGTCCCCAAGTTTCTGTCACCTGACCTACTGTCTCAGGGCTGGAGAGTGAGGCTTAGGTTTCTGACAGCTTTTTGTCTACCTTCCTCTTATGCACAGGATTTAGGAAAGCCATCTGTGTGCTTCCTCTTAGCTGGTGTTCTGGGAGAGAACAGCCATCAGAAGGGAGCACGTTTCTAACATTTAAAGACAACCAATACGAGTTTCATTTTTCGTGTACATCAGAGCTGAATGTTAACATACAAGATTACTTTCTGCCAGGCTGTACAGTACAAGCTGGTATTTGATAGATCCAGGGAGTCAAAAAGCAATAATGTTTTAACACTTACATAAAACCACCTTTTGTTTAATAGGAATAAATAATGTTCCAATCATAATAATGCCAACTCTGCACACAGAGCTGTAACATTTAATGAGATGGGGCCCCGGACGTGATGCGGATACAGTCGTATACAGAATGCAGCAGAGCAGCAGGAAAAAATAATTCTCATCCTATGTACTCCTAAAGGAAATTGCTGAAGAAAACAGCATATAATTAAACTAATTTTCTCATGATTCTTAAAGAAACAAATTGGTGTTGCTCAGAAATTAGGGACAGGTGATACGGATTTTCAAAATAGAATTTCAATAGAGTCATTCAAAGCTGCTGAAATTAAAAACAAAACCAAACAAAAAAACAGAACAGAGAAAAAAAGAGGGAAAAAATATCAGCTCTATCTCCATGTGTCCACATTTTCTCCACTCTCCCAACATGGTCATTTATCTCTCAAATAATGGAGTCAAATGTGATAATTTGCACATTTTAGTCTTCTTTACCATTGCTTCCCTAGCACTGAGCCCTATGTCTGGCAAATAGTACATTCTCAATAAGTATTGCAGAATTCATATGTTAAACATTCTTCACCTGAAATTATCTTCCTGGACTGCCTAGCTCTCCCCTTTCCACGGGCACTCCATGTAGGCTTCTACTGCAGGTACACACCCCTTTGTGTTGACTTTAGGCTGCCCACAATCTTCCACTGGATGCTCCACCTGGACATAACCTATCCGAATGGTCTTGTGTTCCCTGTTTCTTGTCATGTACTTCCCTACCTACAATGTCTTGCCCTAAGTCCTAGGAAGCATCTGCTATGTAAAAAATAGCTGTTTTCTGAGTTCTTTATGACCTTTCATGGAGGCATGCTCTAAAAGATTTTTCAAGTAAGAATAATCCTAAATAAATCCAAAATACATAAATAACCAGAAGAGTTAAGATATTAGATACAGCCAGAAGAGAATGAGAGAAAGCAATGTTAGGATCAAACTCAGCCTGATAACATCACAAATGGCTGCAAACACCATCTAATACGTGGCCTGGGTAACTCTTCCTGAAATCAAGTCCTAAAGCTCACTCAGTGAATTATACTTCTTTCAATCTTCTGCTTTCTCCTCAAACATGTTACTTTTTTTTTCTTTTTGATGGATTTTCTGAAATCTCAGGCAGCATTTTCCTTTAGATCTCTGCTTACATACAATTTTTAGTGAAATAATAGGAGGTCCTTCCTAACCAATGTCTTTACTACTAGTATTGATGCTAAGAGTTTATCTTGTGCTCAACCCTTGGGGCTGCAGTGCTATAAAAGATCAGGAAACAGATAAGAATGAAATGATATCAAGCATAGAAATATAGTATTGAGAAGTCGTACAGTTTAGAGTTTCATAGGTCAATATGTGAGCTTGGCAAGTCATTTGCCTCCATTCGTAGGGAAGGAAACCTATGTTAAAACTTAGGTTAAAACTCCCTATACTTGAGTCTACAACCATGCCACTCTGAACATGCCTGATCTGGTCTGATCTCGGAAGCTAAACAGGGTCAGGCCTGATTAATACTTGGATGGGAGACCACCTAGGAATACAAGGTGCTCCAGGCATAAAAAACAAAACAAAACATAAAAACCCTCCCTGTACTCTTCAGAGATTTGGAATAAGAAAAACTGGGGTAATATACAAACATTAAAAAGTTTTAAAGCAGTATAATTGATTGTCGATGTCCTTTCTTTCCATAAAAAGTGGAGGAAGGATCCAGTGTTAGCTTTCTAAATCACTGATGAATTCTTTTGTTTGACACTGGCTTTCATCAAACCAAGTTGGCCACAGTTCACTTACTGCTTGGTTTGCTTAGATTTACAAAATGCTTAAATCTCAATTGTTCCCCAAATTGCTAATTGGTCCAGCTAGTAACTGCAGAAATATACTACTTATAATGATGTAAATATTATTTGGCTGTCAAGAGCTGACACCTCCATAAAGGAAAGTTAGATCTATGTCCCAGTTAGATTTTTCTTTACCTTGTAGATTAAATTTGGCCCCAGTGTTGTTTAAGCTTATCGAGAGGATGGTGCTTGAAAATGAGAATTGTGCAAACAGATATGTTCACAAAAGACCATCTGATTCCTATCCTCTTATAAGCTTAGCCATGCGAGGAAACACTCTGACTGTCCTTTTCTGAAGCCCATCCCATGTGCCATTTCTCATATACCTAACATATCTTCTCACAATCATTTTCCTCATCTCAAATTCACAGCCTGTTATTGTCTCATTGTCTTAAACTGAAAATAAACACAGCCGCTTGCAAGGCTGTCTACACAATATGCTCTTCCACGGCAAGCCTCCCACGGAGCAGATGAATGTTTATATGTGAGAGTTCACTTTTCCACAGGGTGGTATGAATACTATTATCTGAGGGTCTCGCTATTCTCGAATTTCTTCAAGTTGATCATTAATTCTTTTATGTTTCATGTTTATTTATTTGCATTTGTTGAGATATAATTGCCATACAA